GCCGAGAGAACTGTTTGCCCAAAATAAATATATGTAGCATTTAAAATAAATGTGCATCTCATGTTATGCGCATTTGGCAGTGCACAAAGGGAGGTCATTTCAGGATCATCCTAGTTGAAATTATCCAAATTTTTAAAAGTATATTTTCAAAATTGCTATACTGAACAAATTTTAAAATTGCAATTACATAGTGATAAAGACAACGTGATTCAGATATAAAGGGCTTCATTAAATTGGAAAAACAAAATATTGGTAGTAGTTCTGTTCCCAAACAATTCTGCTAAAGGCCTCTTCCTGTGAAGAATGTATCCATTCACACATCATGCACATGATTAACTTCAAATGTTACTTGAGATATTAAGAACGGGGTTAAGTCTTTTGTTGCATGGGCTAGAAACACACAGAAGCCGATGGAAAACAAATTTAATTGATTTTTTGGATGAGGCCCCTATCTAATGGGGAGGTTCTGCTGAACTGGGGTTGTGTTGTAACTTACTTCTGTGTTCACGATCAGCATTTGCTGCACTAGAAATACAATTTATGAGAAGTTCTCTGTTAGAATGTTCTTACAATACAGGTTCCCCAAGTGTGAGATGCCAAAGCAAATCCCTTCCAGGCAGCAGGCTTGGCTGTTCCCCACTGCCTCCTGCTGTGAAATAAGACATTCCACACACCTTTTCACCAATTAGATGATAAAGATGGGGATAAAGGGAGCTGGGACATAAAAACCCAGCCTGAGGTTTAGGTAGGGAGGTAAATAAGATTGACAGGTATTCTGTTGGGAGTACTAGTTCCAGGATTTCACCCCTGCTATGCAATAGGAAGCTTAATTGTAGTCTAAAATTTGTGTGTTGTGACAATTCTGAAAATAGGAATTCTAAATTACAATGGGAAGCCCAGGTTTCTTATTTGCCATCCATTATCCAGCATGGGCTTCTTTTTCATAGCTTTTTCCTAAATATGCTTAGGTCCAATAACTAGGGATAGTCCTGCAGATCTAGCTGTGACTATGCATAAAGGTCTTTCAAGAGAACATTTAATCTGAAACTTGTATGTTTAACATGGTTCTAGTAAGATCAGTGAGACACAAACAAACACGGAATATGGCTACTAGGAAGATAATGTTTTAGGATCCTGTCCTCTGAATCCCTAGTGATCACTTTCAAACACCTTAGCAAAATAGGTCCTACACACTTTATACAGCAGTAAGACTAGTTAAAACTAGCTATAACCTTTTATAGGAAGCAGTAGAGTTCCAACAGCTCCAGGAGGACCTGGAGGCCCTTTTTCTCCTGGATCCCCCTGTAAGAGTCCAACAATAAATTTTACTGATAGATACAAATATGCAGTGTGCTAGCATGTAACTGAAAACTGCAACAATAGTGGGGTATGTAAGCATGTGACACACATCACCTGGGAAACTTGATTTTGACACTTCATAGCATTTAAAACCAGGCAACAAGATTTAAAATAATCATTATCTTTCAGGATACCAGTGACTAAACAGTAATATACCTATCACACATATCTATTTGACTCTTCAGAATGTATGTCTGCTGTATTTTATTTCATTCATGTATTGTAAAGACAAATCAATTACAGTAAATCAATACCCTATTTAACTGAGATGTTTTGATTTAACAACCAAGCTGTAATTATGTGCCTTAAAATTCTATAGCAGAATTTGGAAATTACTTCTATGATGACTTTAAAGAGGTTTCACAGTCTGACAGATATATTATCAATGGTAAGAGATACTCAAAGTTTTTGTAAGAAGTTTAAAACATCTGCATCAGGGAAACATAAAAGTGCCTACTAATGGCAAGGAAAATCACTTCTGCTTGGAGGATTTCTAAATTAGCTTGGATTTTGATATTTAGAATTGCAAGTGAAGTGGACTTTAGGGAAGTCTTTGATGTGGCAAATTGTATTAGACTTTTCGCTTTGTAGATTAGGAATCAACCCTGCTCTCTGCAGCAAATGGGAACTGAGAAAACAAGAATGTGAATGTGGGAACTGCGTAGTGAGGTTGCATTCCTGGGACTGGAGTTCAGGGCCTTTTAGGACACAGACAAGGAGAACTGGGACTGCAAAACTGGATACCCATTCTTACACAAGTGAAAACAAGGAGTCCATGCCTCTTTCTGGGCTTTTTTTTTAAGTTGATATCTCTACGATGTTTAAACAGTTCTGGAGCTGTCACTGACTGCTGTCCTCTTGACCTTTGGCCTTTTGGCTGGCCTTTTTCCTTTGACTGTCTCTTGCATAATGAAATAACATCATTGTGTTGTCTTTGGCTATTTTAAACAGGAATATAAATTTGTCTTCCCTAATGACGTAGAAGAGTCTTCTGTGTGGCAGGACAGAAAAAATAAACCTAGCATTTTTCCTCCTCTGATAAACTTACAAAGTATTTTGAGATTTAAAATTAATTTAATGATGATAAAAGTGTAAAAGATTTGTACAATAGATGGATATGGCCCAAGTCTTATATGACTTTCATGCTGATTTTAAAATGACACAACCAGAACACAAGAAAGAATTGAAGAGTCGTTGAGCCAACGTCAAAAATTTCAGTTCTTGGTATCTCCTTAAGTGACAAATTCCAGTGGTTGTCTCTGAAAATCTCTGTCTTTAGGCTGTTAGGTCTTATGACCCTCTCTGGATGGCAGCTTCGTACTTGCTGTGTTTCCACTGTTGGTACACTCCTGCATAGTGGCATATACATGTTTGGATTATTTTGTTGACTGATACTGTTTTCGTTTCCCATAAAAATTTCAGGAGACTTGACTTGCCAATGTTTTATTTAAAAAAAAAAAATGCCAAAAACGTCCAACAAAAGCGTATCTCTACTGTATTCTGTAACCTGTAGTCTTCTTAAAATTAAAGCTTATAATCACTTATCAGTTTTACTGATATCCCTATTAAGCATTAAACACTGCATTTGTTCTGTAAGTTTCTATAGCTTTATATAATGTCAATGGCCAAGAACATTTTGCACTTCCTGTACAGACCATTCATTATTTTAATGAGACTCATTCCATTAGTAGCAGAGACAAAAGGTCTCAGAGTGATTTCAACAGGACTCATATCCTCTTGTATGTGGTCTAAAATGGCCTTCTGTGTTTTTTGATATTTAACACAGAATAGTTAAGGTTAGAAGGGACCTCTGGAGATCATCCTGTCCAATCCCCCTGCTGAAGCAGGACCACCAAGAGCTGGTTGCCCAGGACCATGTCCAGACAGCTTTAGAATATCTGCAAGGATGGAGACCAGTGCTGAGTAGAGGGCAAGGATCACCTTCCTCAGCCTGCTGGCAGTACTTTTCCTAGTGCAGCCCAGGTTACCATTAGCTGCCTTTGCAGCAGGGGCATATTGCTGGCTCATGTTCAAGATCCACACAGTGTTGCCAATGTCCAGACCTAAGGATCAAAAGGTATGCCAACAATTCCTTGAAGTCCATTCTTCGCTTTAAGCAAAAGTTAACATTTTTTGAAGATTAAATCTACTTTGAATGCAACTGGTTTTTCCCTGACTCTGTGTCTCTCCCTTAAATCCGAATGTATCTTAGATTCTATTTGAACGTGTTTATTTCAGAAAAGCTACATGAGGATGGGTTATTCTCAAGAGGGGTTTTAATCATATTCTAGTTCCTCCGGTTTATGTGATTTTTAGCAGATCATAAACAACACCTGGTGAGGCCAGATGAACAGTTGATGCAGACTAGATAGATCTGCACTTTTCAGGAATGATCAGATTTATCCAGCTGTTTCTCAAGCACAACTACAGCATCTGTGCAATCATTCTGAATTTTGCATATCTGTATGAGTTAACCTGATTTTTTTTTTTAAGTTGTGTCTATACTTGATTCGTTTTCTTGTGTTCCATGCATTAGCAATTGGAATTTCATCTTTCCGAATCATTACTGCAGGCATTCAAACTTTTGCCTAGTATAATCTACCCACAATTAATTATTCTTTGCTTACTGTTCGTGGTGTTCGTAGTGTTAACTGATGGCTTCTCAGGCTCTGGGCTAATCAATGGAGACTGAAGAATGCACTGTTCTGTCTACACAATGTCTTGTGTCAAGTTTATTAATTATGCCCCCAACTAAAACAATATGCACATCAGGGTGAGTACTTTTTAACAATACAACACTTAATGTTTGATTCTAGTTTTGGGGAGTAATGGACTGTAATGATCTTTCTGTTACTAAATAAGACGTGATGTTTCTGTCTAATTAGTATCTGAATGATCCCACATTGTTGTGAAGCTGCTAATGGGCAAATGGCAGAAAAATGAACATCCATGGACAATTTTTTTTTCCGAAGTATGACTACATAAATGAAATCTTGGATGAAGAGGTTGATCTAGCACTCTCCTGGCAGTCCTAGCTTTGAAACAAGTAAGCCTGTGACCAAAACAGATGTTTTTATTGTACTTTTACTTCTTTACTCCATGTGCTTGTCATTTCTCATTTGTAAACCTGCTTGTTGGAAACCTGTTTGTTGCTTTTTATTTGTCTGCTTTCAACTGTGTCTTCAGCAGTATACTACTTACAGCAAGTTTGGACCAGCCACAGTTTATTTCCTTTTGTCATCACAGATTCTGTAGAGCGTGTTCCAATCTTAACCTTCAATTTATAACAGAGGTGATTCTTGCTAAAATCTCTTGAGTGTCATTCCTCTGATTTCACAGGTGCAACTAATTGTGCTTTAAGGAGAGTTACTGTTTCATGTGCAGCTTTACAAAAAGATTATTTCAGAGGGAAATAAGCACTTGTGACTTTTGTATTTCAGAATATTTAGAGCCAAGTTCATTAGTGTCACAAGTTCTGCAGTATTGTTTTTGTACTCTGTGCTGTAGTAAAACTTTGATGATGAGCTTTTTCAACTCTGCTCTCTCTACTGATGATCCTGTCACCCACATTCTTCGCTGCAGTATTTCACTCCTCCTACTTACTCATACACTGCTGACCACTTGTACCCTATCCCAGTGACTCCCTAGACCTTCCCCCTGGCTAGATTCACTGCTGCTTTGCTCCTTCTAGAGTAGCATCCAGAACTGGTTTTTCATTCTGAATGTGCTTCAGCATTGTAGATTCCATAGAAAATATAACAGTTTCCCTTCATTCAAGTTTTTGTTGTTAGTCAGAATTACAATACAATCATTGGTTCTGCAGCCTGAAGAAGAGAATTCCATGAATTTGTATTCTGAAATATTGCTAGTCTGGCATCTGGGTCTTCTGAAATGATATTAAGCATCTCTTCCATGCTTTTCAGATTAATATTCTCCTCTTTTACTGCTTAGCTCCCCGGATGTGACACCTACACTTCTAACCCCTACTGGAAAGCAGCATGTATTCTAAAATAAACAAAAATGGCTAGCATCGTCTAAGTGAGTAAAAGCAGGAAATGTTTAATCAAAGCCGGTGTGAAAGAGTCCGATTTCCATTCTGGTAACCATCTTGGAAAAGCTGCTTATGTGAACAGGTTGAACACATGCAAAGAGACTTTGGCAAGTCATGCAAACAAGCCCATCTGAACCAAATTTTGCCACCTCATTTGGTGTCAATTATCACACTAGTTAATGGCCTAAAGTTTATAGGATCATACTGTTACCGAAATAGCAGGTTCCTTTACCTAGCATACGTCTCTGGGAAATGCAGCTCAGCCATGAGAGTAACTTGCAGAGTACTAGAATTCGTGGATTAGATAGCTATACTGGTATAGTTAAAGGTAACTATTGGCAATTGGGATTAACCAATTCCTATGGTATGCAAAATGGAATTCCCACTCTCATATGCACTTTTTGTTTACTTACATCATTATTTACTACCGCTGTGTTGAGTAACTATGACTACCATGACAACAGTAAATCTTAAAAGTAATTGTGACTGTAGAACAGGAAATAGTCTGATAAACAGGTACATTTGGAAGGAATCATTAGCATTTATATAGGGGAGTGTGTGTGTATATAGGGGAGTGTGTGTGTGTGCGCATGCGCGCGCGCATGTATGTTTGGTGGCTTTCTTACCTCTATGCCTGGATAGCCAGGTTGTCCAGGAAAACCAGCAAATCCTGTTTCCCCCTGGAAAGGATCACATGAATATAATTTGATTAATCTGTTAAGACATTAATATAAGTAATTGAACAAAAACCAGTAAGGCAGTCACACAATACTGTCATGTTATAATAGCATCTGCACTTTGTTTCAGAAAATTCACTGGGTTTGTAGAAGAGATGATACGTTTCACAGAATCTCTTCTGTTAAAAAAAAAAAACCTTGCATGTATCACCAGGTTATTTAGATAGTGGTCAGCAAGTTCAGCATAGCTGGGGCACAGAACTAGCTGGAATACGTACCAGCAGACCTTAATAGACTGTCTGCTTAATACAGCTGAAATTGGTTTGCTGCCTGCTGAATGATCCTCTTAAACTACTATTGCATGGAAAGCAGCTACATATCAGCTCCTCCTCTCCTTTTATGATCTACTAATATGCTCATCGATCCAGTATTCAAACTCTAGGTAGGCAGTGGTAAAAAACACAGTAAAAAGTAATTCTGCAGATGAAACAGTCATCTGGAACATAACTCTAGATGCAAGTATCTGTACGTTAATGTGATTTATGAATAACATGATCATTACCTTAACTAGATTTGAAAATGAACTGGAGAGAGGAGATAGGAAAAAGGACAAGATGTAGATCTATATACCTACATCTGTTTTTCTTTATTCCAGTAAGATGTTGTAAGTTCATAACTAACATTTAGCCGACTTAACAGCAAAACTGGAATTTCTTGAGCCAGAAAGCTAAACAAAACATGCATATAACACAAAATTACAAAACCAATGTCACTGTGGCAACCAAAGTTACCATGCTGTGTAACTTTTCTATCATGCTATATGCATGTCCCACTGGCTTTTCCTCCTGCTTGCAACTTCAGATCCCATCAGCCAATTTCAGCCAAATTTCAGAGAGTGGCAGAAATTCAGACACAAACAGTTCATACAACTTCTGTGGCAACAGGTAGCAGGAAAGAAAGGAAGGAATGCAATGCGAGCTATCCAGTATGCGGAAATTCGAAATCCGCACAAGTCCACAGAAAACCAAATCTCACTGATCCCACTGTTCACGGTGCTGCTTATACTTTATGTTCTTACCTTCATTCCAGGAAAACCTGCACGTCCATAAGAACCAGGATTACCCTGATAAAAGCAAGTAGAATGTGAGCTAAAACAGTAACATCTTATTCAAAATTACACCTATTCAGAATAGCTAAGCAGTTAATGTTCCTTAGATAATTATTACTTGGGATATTTCCCAAAAATTTTGCAAAGTTTTTGCAAATACTTTATATGAAAGATGGGCATGAATTTGAACTATAGGCCAAACCAGACAAAATTCACTTAATTTTTTTATCATATTGCACAAAGCACAGTAGTGGACATGTTGCTCCATATGAGCACTGTTATGCAAATCAAGCACAAGCTGCTGTAAAAAATTGCCATCGGCAGGTATGGAATACATTAAAATTACTATGTTAGTACTGTGCTACTCCAGAGAAGATTTGTGCAGCTCTAAATATTTAGAGGATAACCCTACAGATTTACTTTCTTTTCAAGGACAGAAAGTCTGTATGAGCTTATGTTTATGTCTGAGACAGGGTGAGTCCCAGGGCAGGACTCTGAAGTATTCTATACAGAAAGTATGATAGATTAGTTTAAAAAATCCGTAAAATCTTCCTTGGAAATGCAAACTTAATCTGCCAAGTATATTATGAACCTAATTATAGTGAATTTGTGAAGTAATTTATTCTGCAACTTCCTTACC